ATGATAAATACCCTTTTATTCTAGCTTTACTTGATAATTGCACGTGCGCGGAACAAATTTTCGCTGAGCGTAAATTTTGGAATCAACAGTCTAAAGAGAATGCTTTAAAATGCATAGTCAGTTATGCGCTTCGCTGCTTATCATACCTCTGCGCCGTTTCTGCGTGAGATGCCCGTTTCCTGTAAGCCGCTGGAACTATCGTCAGTACATAAGAAGTGTGCTCGCTTGAGTCACTTTGCAGTTTTCCACAAAATGGCTGCTACAAATCATTGTCGAAGCTTTTGGCAACCACATTCTTCTATCGGCGCTGCTTAGATATAAAAGATATATAATCACTCATCACAAATACCACATGTGTACACAACTTCAACTACTACAATATCGAATAACAGTAGCAGCATAAACATGTCTTCGCAATTTTTTGACACTGCTGAAAAGACGGAAGTTGAAAGTAATATGGCAATTTGCGCTTTTAAGATGCAGATATGTATCTCCATGTAACTCAAAAGCTTAGAGGAGTGGTGACGCAGGAATAAACTCCTGTCAGGTTAAATGCATCGTGCACGTGCTCATTTTTATAAAAAAATTTACTTGTCTCGGCGCACTGTTGCGATCCATGCTTGTCGCCTGCCTTTTCTGTTTGGGAATGTTGAAGTCGACCCCTTCGTGTTTACAAGCCATTGTCACAGTTGACGACACAGCTATGATTCCCCCCTCTTTGTCGCGTTGACATGGCGGAACGAGGGCTGTTTCACGTGCAGCGCGCGCTTCACAAGTATGCGCGGGAACCAAAGGGAGTGGAGGCTGTACGCTTTTTCCGGCAGGGAAGCGTTGACGTCGGCGGACAAACTTCTCGGGTCTTCTCTCTCACGACGGGGGGCAGGGGGGGGGGGCGCAGTCAGGTCTGCACATCGATATAATAGAGGCTGCGACTGGGGGGGGGGGGGGGGCGCCAAGTCAGCCCCATGCATTGACATAAGAGGGAGGGGTGGCACTGCGACGAACCTTCGCCCCTCCTGAAGGGGAACCCTGCGTACGCCTATGCGTGACACGAACACTGCTTGGGAGCGAGCACAGTGTAAGAAAATAAGAAAAAAGTGTGTGTCTTACACCGCGAGAGCTAGCAAACAAATGGAATACCACGGCAGTTTGTCCACTTTTTTTTTTTTACGTGCCGCTTTGGCATCGCCTAAAGACGACACGCATATCCGCGTGTTGTGTGTTCTAGATTTAGTGCCAGGGACCCCCAGCCGCCGGCGTACGCACACTCTGGCGTTCCATTGTACTCCCAACTGCGCCTGCAGAATATGCAAAGAAACGTACGTGGGCGGCTGGGATCTCCCTATGTCCAAGGTTAAATTTCACATGAAAAGGTATCGAAACCGGCTCCGTATATGAACGTCTACGGTTTTGAGCCCACGCTGCTTGCTGCTCCTGTGTTCTAGCCTGCTTATGGCAACACGTGCACAGGCACGCAGGCAGAAATTTGTTTAAGGTGAGGGGGGGGGGGGGATACTACCTGGATCCGAAGTTGGGGCCGGCCAGGCAGACGTGGTCGAGCGTCGTTTTGTTTTGTGCCCTGTATGCGATGGCATTTTTGGAGGGAGGGGGGTCACAGGCCTAATGTGCCACCCCCTGGCTACGCCACTGCACGTGCACCCTGTCTAAGGTTCCCCAGCGCTCGTTGCCCCAGCAGGGCGAAGCTTATTCTCTGCGGTGGTGGTGTGTGAGGGGAAGGCGCGCCTCGAGAAGAGGATCTCGCACGAGCTTGTTGCTTCACACAAGCAGAGCAAACTACAAACTGTGGACTTTCTTGTTTCAATCTACTATCAGTCAGAGCCATTTCTTTTCTTATCGTGCCTGTTCGCACTGTATTTCAAGTGCCTTTTTATCACAGGCGAGAGGGTAATAGCCTGTGATCAGAAATTTCCAATAATTTGATACTTTATTTTGATACCGCATCCCTTGGGTAAGCTTTCCGGGCAGCATATATTGAAAACCTAGTAGGAGCAGAGCTAGCAACTGGCGGCGAGAGCTGATTGGCTACTTGAGCCGAGGGACGCTGTGATGTCACGCCATAGCAACGGCGACGGCGCCGCTTCGGATCTTGGCCGCTTTGGCCGCGCCACCGTTACCGCTGCTTCGTACGCGGTTTTGGCTTTCGCGCTGCGCGCGTTTGGCCGCCCGAACCGCTCTCTCTCTCGCGGCGCTTCTGGTTTTGCGCTGGGCCGCCGATGACTACTGGAGAACCTTGCCAAACCATGAGCGCTACGCGCGCCGTTATTTAGTGAATAAAGTTGCCTTAATTAGGAATGCATTCCTACACTTCTCCAGGGCATTGTAAAAAACAATAAAATGCTGCGCCGTTCATGGAGTTATTTGAACTCTATTAAGAAACTTTTATGTAATCGCCAAAATTACGCATCGGAATACACTGGCTGTACTTAAAGCTCATAGCGCGTTGAAGCTATCTCCTATCGCGTCCGACGCGCGTTGTTTAGTGAATAAAGTTGCCTTAATTGGGAATGTATTCCTAGCTTTTCCCAGAGCATTACGCAATTTTGCGCCTAAAAATTGCTGCGCCGTTCACAAACTTTTTTTGAATTGTATCAAAAAAACCCTATCAGCAACATTCGGTACCGAAATAACGGGCTGTAATTAAAGCCATGGAATACATCGTAAAAGCGCTACCACACAACACAAGGGAAGAGGAGACGAGCACAGGCGCAAACTAACAACTGATTTATTGAACGCAGATCAACAAGTATATATACCGGAAAGCTACACAGGCGCATCGTCACAGCGATCCTTAGAACAGGAAACAGAAAAAACGTTCAAACAAGGCGCGTCAGAAATTGAATTTCGGCTTTGTACAGCGCAATAGAAGTGTCGCTGACACAATCCTCACCTGCTTTTATGATGAAAAACGCTTCTAAGGTTTCACGGGCCGTTTTTCGCCTACTTCTGCCAAGGATTTTTGCGCAGCGGAACCGTGGTTCACAATTCGAGCACGCCGCGCAGTGGTCAACAAGATGACTTCTCTCGTTATTGTTAAGATTTCTTTCGTGTTCCCCGAGTCGGTCATTGAGGCAGCGCCCTGTCTGGCCGATGTAGCTCATAGTGCATTGAAGGTGCCTCCCATCACGCGGAGAGCTGCTCAGCGGAGGTGCCTCCCATCACGCGGAGATACGCGCAGTATCTGGAGCCAGCATGTGCCTTTATTATATCACCTAGTTTGGTCCACATGCTCTAAAGCGCCCGGTAAGTTATTTTATCGAACAGCAAATAATAATAAAATAATACGTATTACTTAAAGCTTACAATGCACTGCAGGCGTTTCCCATCGCGCACAGTTTTGCAATAATGCGCACGGCGCAGTCTCCGGAGCCAGCACGTGCCTTTATGTCACCTATATCAACTTTAATCGGAACTGCGCAGAGCCTACATACACGCACTTTGGCCGATTTGCGACCCAATCATGCCACGTGTAACTCGTGAAATAAAGGAAACTGGTATACAGCGTTGTACATAAGCTGTGACCCTTCAAACGCCACATTTCTATCTTACAAATAAATATCCGCGAACTTGAGCAAGAGGAGATGAACAGTTGGAAGTATTGTTTCTCTAAAATGTAGTTGATAGGTTTGCTCGTTTTCTTGTTTTGCATGACAATTTTGCTTCAGAGGTTAACTTTTTTTTGCTCCGAACGGCCACGTGCGCTTTTCCTTCCCGCTGTCCACGGCCAGCATTTTTTAAGTCTTTCGCGGGTTGTAGGGTCCTTGAGGCTGGCAGAACGAATCTTTCTCCCCTTCACACCAAACCACATTTCTGCGTGCTTTTGTGCAGCGGCCTACGCGGTTTAAGCTTAAACAAGGCCGTGCCGCTGGTGCGCTCTGGGTTCCACTGCCTACTGTAGTCAAGCGATCGCTGAAACGAGCGAGCAAGCAGCCTCCATATCGAATTGCCACATCGAATTGCGTATGGCTTGATTCGATATGGTCGTGCAGCCCAGCTTCTCGACGGAAAAGCCCGCGCGGCCAAGGTCCGGAGTGGCACCGTCACCGTTGCTATGGTGTGACGTCAGAGCGTCCCTCGGCGCTAGTAGCCAATCAGCTCTCGCCGTCGGTTGCTAGCTCTGCTCCTACTAGGTTTTCAATATATGCTTCCGGGCACTTGGGTGGGCATAGGGGGGGCAGGCGAGAATTTTGGGGAGGCTCCAGCCCACCCTTGCCCCTCCCCTGGCGCCGCCCCTGGTACGATGGCCATCCATTCAAAACATACATCAGCACCTTAGACAAAACTGGGTCTTTTTGGGTTTCGTCACTGATCCTTTTCGCAGATAGTGGTACGGCTTCTACTGCTGAAAAGAAGTGAACGTTGATATGTGGGGTTTAACGTCCCAAAACCACTATATGATTATGAGAGACGCCGTAGTGGAGGGCTCCGGAAATTTCGACCACCTGGGGTTCTTTAACGTGCACCCAAATCTGAGCACACGGGCCTACAACATTTCCGCCTCCATCGGAAATGCAGCCGCCGCAGCCGGGATTCGAACCCGCGACGTGCGGGTCAGCAGCCGAGTACCTTAGCCACTAGACCACCGCGGCGGGGCAAGAAGTGAACGTAGTCGCTTTTGTCGGTGTTGTTCGGAAGCGGTAATCGCGATAACGCGTCCGCGTTTGCTACTTGGGCTCCCTTTCTGTACACCCATTTGTAGCGATATGCAGCTAGCACTAGCATCCAGCGCTGCATGCGTGCTGCTGCCATTTGCTGAATTGGCTTTGTTTGCCCCAGCAGTCCCTCCAGGGAAGGTGATCGGAATAAATGGTGAATTCACGGCCGTAAAGATACTTGTGAAACCGTTTGATTCCGAAAATCACAGCCAACGCTTCCTTTTCTATGTGTGCGTAGCCACTTTCGGCCTTGCTCAAAGTGCGTGACGCATAAGCTATCGGCCTTTCTTCCCCGTTCACGACATGAAATAACACTGCGCCAACCCCTTAAGGAGAGGCGTCGCAGACTAATCCAAGAGGCTTCTTTGGGCCATAGCATGTTAGCACGCTCGCTTGCGTAAGGAGGCTCTTACTCTCCGCGAAGGCTTTTTCTTCTTTTGCGGACCAGACCCACTTCTTGTCCTTCTGAAGCAGTGCATACAAAGGCTTTAGCCTCGAATACATGTTTGGCATGAACTTGGAGTAAAAAGTTATCATGCCGAGGTACGCTTTAAGCTCACTGATGTTCTTAGGTGTGGGTGCTTCCCTTATGGCTTCAACCTTCTCGACGCACGGGTGCACACCATTTTCGTCAATGATATGCCCAAGATATTTGACAGAATTCAAGAAAAACTTCCATTTTTCCTTTCTCACTTGTACGCCGTGGTCCCTGAAAACCTGCAGGACTGCTTCCATCCGGGCCAGGCATTTGGTATGTGATGCTCCCGTGATGAGGACATCGTCGAGGTAGCATACCACTCCCGGTAGTCCTTTCAACAGCTCATTCATGATTGCCTGGAAAACCGCAGGTGCACTTGAGATTCCGTACGGCATTCGAACATACTGGAACAACCCCATGTGAGAGTTTATAGTCAGCAAGGGTCGCGAGTCAGGGTGCACCTCGATTTGCTGATATGCCGTCGAAAGGTCCAGAACGGTGAAAACCTTGCCCCCAGCCAGCGTCGTGAACAAATCCTCCACCGCGGGCAGTGGGTAATGGTCGGTCTTCACACATGGATTCACCGTCAATTTATAGTCTCCACACAATCGTACTGTGCCGTCTGGCTTGTGAACAGCTACCGGCGGCGTGGCCCAGTCGCTGCGGGTTACGGGCACCAGTACGCTCTCTTTTTGCAAGTTGCCTAGTTCATGCTCGACAGGTTCACGAATGGCATACGGCACAGACCGCGCCTTGCAAAAGACTGGCATGCTTCCTTCCTTCCTAAAGCACCAGTTTTGCTTGGTAACCCTTTATCAACCCTAAACCAGGTGAAAAAATGCTGGCATACCTTGACAGGATGCTGTCGACAGACGGTTGTGCGTGCACCTCGTGAATGCTGTTTAGGTCCATTCCGAGGTTCGCAATCCAGTCGCGGCCTAGGAGTGCTGGCTTCTCTCCTGGTACCACGATGATTGGCAGGAGTTTCCGCTGTCTCTTATAATCGACCAAAACCTCCGCTTGGCCTTTCACTTGTAGCGTCGCTCCGCCGTAAGTCTTGAGCTTCATCTCGCACTTCGCAAGCTGCGGCGGCTGCTTTAGCTGCCGGTAAACGCATTCCGGAACGAGTGATACGGCTGCGCCCGTATCTACTTGCATCTTCACAAGCTGGCCGGCTATCTGTACTTCAACTTCATATGGTTGTTCCGTGCCCACCAGATACACACCGTGCAGCAGCAGCCCTGTGCTTCCGCTCGCTTCGTCACTCACGTTGTGGACGGTGCCAGGCGCCGGTTGCTTTGCATCTGCACATGCGCGCCAAATGTCCCACGCGCTTGCAAAGATGGCATTTGAATTTACGATAACGGCAGCAACGGGTGTCATGCTCTTGACCGCATCGATAGCAGCTTTGCATTGAACTGTTCTTCGGCTTCCTGGCAAACTCCGGTTCCTTCCCAGTCTTCTTTAGAGCGTGAATGTCGGCCTCCGTATTCGCAGTTGGTCGGAATCCCCTCGACTCCCGCTCCGCTAGCTCAACGCTCTTAGCAAAAACGCAGGCCGATTCGAACGTCAGTTCCTTCCTCTTCAGTAAACCCGTCTGAATGGTGGAATTCCGTAACCCAGCGACGAACCGGTCCCGTAAAGCGTCGTCGAGAAACGTACCGTAGTTGCACTTGGCTGCCATGTGCTTCAGCGTGACTGCAAATGCCGCGACGGACTCCCCTTCTCCTTGGTACCTCCTGTTGAATTTGAAACGCTCCGCAATGACTTGACTTGAAGGCTCGTAGTGGCCACTCAGCACTTTCACCAAGTCCTCGAACGTCTTCTATTCAGGTTTTGCAGGTAGAAGAAGGTCCTTGAGCGTCTTGTACGCTTTCTTCCCTATGGCAGAGATGAAGGCTGACTTTTTAAGTTCTTCGTCTTGTACGCCGGCTACTTTGCAATAGTGCCCAAACCGTTCTACATACGATGCGAAATCTTCGTCTCCTTCTTCTATGAAGGCGTCAAATTCCCACATCTTCGCCATACCTTGCCTTTCGCCTTCCAGCTGTCGTTGTTCACAGGATCCGCCCCCATCGTTCGGTGCAGTCTATCCCATCCTCGTCGCCATCTGTTGTAGCCGGCGAGCAAGGCGACGCTGGACTCAGTTGGTGGCGAAGGTTTAATGTGATAAGCAAGCGGCTCGCATGCCAATATAAGTACAGGTACATGACGTAGCCTGTGACGTCAGTACGGCGCGTCATACGTTGGCTACTACATGCTCGACAGCGTCACCAGCAAACCTGTGGCTGTTGACTCGCTGATAAAACCTCCGGCTCCACCTGCATGTTGCTCCAAGGCGGTCAAATATTTCAAAAAGTCGGCAATAGTATCGCTGGAAGATGAGTCTGGCCACAAAGCTTTAGACGGGAACCGCGAAGTCGCGCAGGCTTAAAAAAATGGGAAACGTGCGGGCGTTTATCTGCTCTTATCTGCACCATCCGAATTAATCAGTCTCACCAAACCTAAAAATCCTTTGAAAAAGCAGTCATCAATGAAATGTAAAGTTAAGCATAGAAACAAGTATGTGGCATGTTCTCTGGGAGTTGTTTATAGGACCCCCCTTTCCTGTGGCACCTGTTATGTCGAAACGACCGGAAGGTGTCTCAACGATCGACTGAGGGAACACACTAACAATGTTAGAAACGGGAAAGATGGTTTTCTTTCTCAGCACTGCACTGAGTGCAACTGAGTATCCCTTTTCAAGGACACAGTGACGCTGTATAACCACAGAGAGGAGCGCACCTGAGTTATCGTCGAGGCCGCGCAGATGGCACGCGAACAGGTGTCATGCATTAGCAAGTCCTCCGTGTCTCTGTCCGACAAGGAACTAAGGTTTCTCGAAGGTGCGTGCAACTAGTTATAATACTTTTACTTTTCTGACTCGTTTCTTTATAGCCTTCTTTTTGCCTTTTTCATTGCTTATGTGTTTTTACCTTATTCATGCATTGCCCTTCGTGTCGCATGGTTTTCCTCAGATGGTTTACTGTCTCCTCTACATGGAAATGCAGTTCGATTGTACACGTCGCACAGCCTAGCAGTGGCGATTAAAACCCACGGGGTGGCCCTTCGCGGCATTTCACCGTTGCGCGCATTGCGAACAGGTGGAACAGCACAGCAGCACTTCGCTTTTCATGGATTTACCGCAGCCTGTTCACAACTCCGTTGTCAGAGGTGAAAAAGAGAACAAACGCAGATACCACAACAAAGGGGACGTCGGCTTCATGTATCACTTCCCATCGAGATCGTGGGAAGCAACTCGGCGGCAGAAGTGGATCATCGCTGTTCGGCGCGTCAAGTAAGTGTCGCCCTTGCGAATTTTTTAAACCGACATCAGAGCAAGAACAATATCGGGAAGCGTTCGTGCAACGCACGGTAACGTTATAACTGCTCACAAGCTTCTGGTAAAACACGCACAGTATCTGTCACTCGTGAAACCTAACATCGTAAGAGCTTGGACGCGTGGTGCATTTTCCCACGCATTGATTTGTCAACGTTCCTTGCCACTCCTTTGTGCACCAGGACGATGACTATACTGCTGGAACGGTCTCATTAATGCCAAAGCTTTCTCGCGCTTAGTACGACCGAAATAAGGCTGAAGTAACTCGTGGAGTATTCGCCAAATTACCGCTTCTCTCGCGCACACGTTTTGTTTTTCTGTTATTGTCAGCTGATTGCTTCATCACTCGTCGCGTATTCGGATATTTGCGTTTCGCTCGCGCACACTTGCACACGTTTTCTTTTCGCGTTATTGAGTGTCAGCTGATTGCTCTCAATTCAATGTTTCAGCGCCGGTGACCTATCATCTTGGAAGCCTAACGAGAATACCGGGATATGATAGAGGTATTTCGAGAACAGCGAAAAAGCACCATCCAGAATCATCCTGGTTACCTTCCGAAGAGGTGGTCGACAGCTCCTGCTCAACAGCTTTCGAGGTTTTCGAGTAATAAAACTACAAGTGACAGCTGATCGAGAAACGTATACGGTCGTATTTGTGCGCTTAAGTGGAATTCAACGTCGTAAGCATGCTTGCTTTGCTGTGACAAGCACTTCGCTGCGATGTCGGTGTTCACTTCATTAGCACTATACACATGGTCGTTGTCGTGCAGTGCGTGTCCCTTTTCAAGCGTCGGTGTTCGAAAATAGGCATCGATGTTTTTATTCCTCGTAAAACCGCAATGCAAAACAACGACATGCCTGGCAGTGCAACGTCGGGGAAAGGGTATTTATGCTGGCACTGATTGCAGCAGAGTCAGTTCCAGTCGTACGTATTCTCACGCGTAAGTGTGGCACCTTTCTTGCGAAAAAAAAAAAGGTGCTGTGAGATTATCGTTTTATCTGCGAAACAAGCTTTCAACATGAATACTTTTTTGTGCGTAAGTATAAGTGTGAAACTTCAGGATATGAACGCGATTAAATGAGAACTATTTTCTTCAGCGCACCCCGATGCGAACGCTGCTTCACGTAGTGGTGCCATATAAATACATAAATAAAACCTTTAGGATAGATAGATTGATATATATGGCTGTACCCTTTAAGTCGGGCGGCGGCTAGTGCCACCTAGCCGTAATGCTTAGTGAACCAAAAACTAGATTTAGCTTTTTTTTTAATAATGAAGTTGAGGACTGGTACTTTGCAGTGAAGGATTGAATTTTCACTTGTGCCTTGACTTCAGCCACCAATCAGAAAACCTCCTTCTACTGTTAATTCTACCCGCTTAAAGTCTATTTTGCCCTCCCTGTCCCTAAACCCCAGTGTTTTGAAAAACTCTGCGTCTCATCCTGAACTATAGGCTGAAGCCCTTTACAGAACATTATGAAGTGTTAGTCAGTTTCCTCCTCCGCTTCGCATGCACTGCATACCATGTCTACCCCTTCGTATTTGGCCCGATATGTCTTCGTTCGCAATACTCTTGTCCTGGCCTCAAACAGTAGAGAACTACCCCGAGTATTATCATAGATCCTTTCCTTGGCAATTTCCTGCTTAAAAGTTCGATAGATCCCTAGTGCGGACTTCTTAATCATGCCAATTCTTACATATCGGTCTCCGTTTCCTTCACCTTCTCCTTAACCGATAGTTCTTTTTGGTTTGCCCCCATGCTGTTTTCTAAGTATTTCCGCGTCAATTTTCTGGTTCGCTTCCTCCATTTTGTATCGACATTCTTCATGTACAAGTAACTGAATACCTTCCTAGCCCAACGTTCCTCCCCCATTTTTCTCAATCGCTTCTCAAAATTTACCTTGCTGCTAGCTTCCCTGCCCTCAAATGATGTCCATTCCATGGCACTTCGTACTCCCCGATTTGGCGTATTCCCGTGAGCTCCTGAAGCAAGCCTAACTATTCCACGTTGCTTAATTTCTAATCTTGCTTGAACTTCTGATCTCATGCACAAGACCGCATTGCCGAACGTCAGACCTGGAACCATGACCCCTTTCCATAGTCCTCTCACAACATACCTATTGTAATTCCACCGTCTAGGTTAACCAGAGAAAAGTTAGGTTAGCTACGCTACACTGCTGGTATGAGAAGTAGAATAAGCAGAGCGAGAAGGGTACCTGTTGATAAATTTCACTCACAAGCATGGTCTCAGGCAAGAATGCCATATGGACAGCACACACACCATAATGCGGCAATACAGAAGGATTGCAAGTTCACATAGGCATAGTATTCCTTAAGCTTATGCTCCAGGCCTATAGCAACAGAATATATTGCAAACTGCAACTATTTACAAAGGAACTGCTGTTTTAAAGCAATGATGAAAAGTAAGTGTGTGCATATATTGGGTTTAGAATAAAAATTAAACTTTTATTTTTCTTTTTTCAAAGCACCCTCACGACGAAAAATGAAGATTAAGATTTTCCTGAACATTCGGTCATGGCGAAACGTACCTTTGAAGATGCCAATATTTCAACAAACTTTAATATTCAAGGAAGTGACTACGCGTACTTATTTTCAAAGTAAAGTATCACCAATATGTAGCCGTTAGGTCAAGTGGTACTTAGAGGTTTCTGCACACTTATGCTACATTCCTTGCAGTTGAGTGTGTTTTGCTGCAATAACTGAAAAATACATGACACATGCATTACCTTTGCACTCTCATCCTGACCAGCACACCCAGGTATAACAGGGCAGATTTCTTTTTTGTCAAGCACTACACCACAGGTCTCATGCAGAATATCTTGTACTTTCATATTCTATAACAATTACCACATAGCAGTCAAGATAGTTACATAGATGCTTGGAGAAAAAAACTGCAATGTGCACTGACCACGTTACATAAGGGAGCTCTCCGACGTGTTAAAGCCCTTAACAATGCTCACTTCATGTTGAGTAGTCTACCCCGGGATAGTGTCAGTTAATTTTTATAATTACCAATTTGTTCAAAGTGCTTCGCCACAAACACCTGTAACATGCTGCAGCCCAAGAACATGCTGCAGTTGGATGGATTGGAGCGAAGAAATTTTGAACTTTGCAGACTAATTGAAATAGTCTCTTACAGGCCAGGTCATGTTAGAGACCAATAGGAGAAACTGAAGTTGGCATGGTAGGTGGTAAAACGTTCAGTACTCACTGACTACTACAGGGCATGTCGGAACATCGAAACACTAGGAGACGCTTTTTATTGGGAGCACAAGATTTTTTTTCCCAGCATAGTACTTCATATAGGACCTCAATTAGAAGATTACAGAAAAAGGGGAAGAGGGGAGAAAACGCATAAAAACAAATATGAAATGAACTCAAAGTCAATATTTAAAACTGGGATGTCTAGTGAGCTTAGGCTTTTTAATGTTGAAAATTATTAAGCAAACCAGTTAGGCTGGACATAATATGTTGAATAAATATGCATTACCAAAACAATTCTCTCGTAGCAGTATGCAGGACATTAAAGCAATGTGCGCTCCATCTTTATGCGGCCAAAGTTTACTCAATAAGGATTAGTGGTACGCCTAATGCAGTACTAATAATGATTTCATGATGTTATAGACAATGCCAATCATAATTTGCTCTCTGCAAGAGGTGGATTCAATGCAGCTATTCCAAGCAGCGTTCACACAGCTGCACAAGGTGTAAATAACAATGTTAAATAAAGAAAATTTTATTGTTCTATAAAAAAAAACTGCGACTCTGAAAAAAATATGGATCCCTAGGCTTCTGCTTGGGCCTCCTTCTCGTCTTCGAATTCTCCTTCTTAATCAGCTGTAGATTCTTGGTACTGCTGATACTTTGAAACCAGATCAATCATGTTTGACTCCGCCTCTGTGAACTCCATTTCATCCATGCCTTCTCCAGTGTACCCGTGAAGAAAGGCCTTGCGCCTGAACATGGCTGAAAAACGAAAAAAAAGTGCATTATGCAAAAGGAGTTAGCACACAGAGCAGCAAAGTGACGACTGGAGGTCGAAGCTGATGTGGTCAATCCTAACTTCTTGATTGATTGATATGTGGGATTTAACGTGCCAAAACCACCATATGATTGTGAGAGACGTCGCAGTGGAAAGCTCCGGAAATTTCGACCACCTTGGGTTGTTTAACGTGCGCCCAAATCTGAGTACATGGGCCTATAGCATCTCCGCCTTCATCGGAAAATCCTAACATCTTAAAGTCAGTACATCAAATTGCTGCTCTGTGGACTGCATTGAGTAACTGGAGCGATGGCTGCCAGGAATTGTCATGTAGTACACATTTGAGACCATAATCATTGGCGTTGTGAGGCTGACTGGGTGGCAAAGATTTCTAGTTGAAAGGAAAGGGAGACTTACCAGTGAATTGCTCAAAGATACGCTTGAAGAGCTGCTGGATGGCGGGGCTGTTACTGATGAATGTTGCAGACATCTTGAGGCATCTGGGTGAAATGTCGCAGACTGCAGTTTTCACGTTGTTGGGGATCCACTGAACAAAGTGGCTGGAATTCTTGTTCTGCACATTGAGCATCTGCTCGTCGACGTCCCGTCCGCTCATGCGACCCCGGAATACCGCAGCAACTGTGAGGTAACGGCCCTGGTGCGGATCACAGGCAACCATCATGTTCTTTGCATCTAACATTTGCTGGGCCAGTTCTGATACAGTCAGCACTCTGTACTGCAGGCTGCCTCGGGATGTCAGTGGTGCAAAGCCTGGCATGAGGAAGTAAAGACGTGGGAAGGGCGCCGTGCTGACAGCTAGCTTGCGCAAGTCTGCATTGAGCTGGCCAAGGAACCTGGGAACAAGAATTAAGAACAGCATTACAATACAATGCAGATGTTTGAGCATTTTACTACAGCAGCAGTAAAAGCAGCTATATGTGGCAAAAAGCTGTATGGAAATGCAGAAGTAGCAAGCATACCTCAGAAAAGTTGTAACACCAGACATAGTTGCTGAAACTAGGTGGTTCAGATCACCATAGGTAGAAGTAGTTAGCTTGAGAGTTCTGAAGCAAATGTCGTCGAGAGCCTCATTGTCCATGTAGTAAGTTTCATCAGTGTTCTCTACCAGCTGATGCACTGAAAGGGTGGCATTATAGGGCTCAACAACTGTGTTCGAAACCTGCAGGAAGAATGGGTAATGCACCACGAGCTTAACATTCAGAAATTAAAACTGGGGATGGAAATAACTGAAGGGCATGGAGAGTTTTTTTTTTTTTGGTGGGGCAAGTTAAAAATCACAAACCTTTCGAGAGGGAACAACACTGAACGTGTTCATGATGCGATCGGGATACTCTTCCCGAATTTTGAGATCAGAAGTGTCCCCATGCAGGAGCCTGTGCCACCACCAGAGAATGAGTTAGCCAGAATCCTTGCAAGCAATCGCAGCCTTCTGCTTCCTTGCGAATAACATCAAGAACAGAGTCCACTAGTTCAGCTCCTTCTGTATAGTGGCCTTTTACCCAGTTGTTACCAGCGCCACTTTGGCCTGAAAAATGTAGGTGAACAAAAGGAATGAGACTTCCACAACAGGCAATGCAATTGCCTTCACAAGGCATTAGCCGACGCACGTTGTTAAG